TTTTATGCAAAGAAAAATATAAACTAAACTTGAAGGTTAAAAGAGTTATTGAATTCTTCGTTGAAACTTTTGTCTTCGAGATAGCAAGAAATTATTTATTTAAATTTCAATAATTTTTTCTTTTAACTTTTGAATTTGAATAAAAATCAAGCGAAACCTACAAGAATAGTTACAATAAATATCTCTTCATTTTGAAAAAGATCTGTATAGAATTTGATAATCAATCTAGGTGTTATTTATGTAGCAGTACTTTTTCTTTTTGTTTACTTTCGATAAGACTCAAGAATAAAAATCATAATAAAAATAATAACAACCATTGAATATTTGAGATGCTCATTTATGGTGAAATAGGAACTATTTTCAAATACATATTTCATTTCACGTTGAATATTCATGCTATTAAATATGGATTCTATGAAAAAGTCCAAAATCAATGACTGAATGATCTGTGCAAATTAGTGCTCGGCTAAAACCACCTATATTTGACAAATATAATATTGTGTTCTGCATCATTTTCTGTGTAAAGTCATTTTAGTACATGATTCATCAAAAAAAAAATAACGAATAAGTATCGATTGAATAATTTGAGCTAATGAAGGAACTTCTCCAGGTGTCAAATCATCTTTCGATCAAGACGATGTTCATTTGATCATTAATAGAAAACTCTAGAATGTTTTGGTTTTCCGAGTCATCGTTCTTGTGATATCAAAATATTACTGGCTTTTTCAAACAATAATTTATGGTCCAGCTCAGTTAATGTGAAAAAGCTGCTTTCAACTTCGAGTTTTGCACGCTTAAAGTCCTCCATCAGATGAGTTGATTGGAAAAGTTGTAACTTTTCTCGTAGCTTTTATTCTAAGACACAGAATATTTAAAATTCTTTTAAGTGTAAAAGTAAGTATTATTTATATATGTACATCTACAGAAAGACAGCACTAAAAAATGTACAATTTTCTTAATGAACCAATCTTATTGGGAATTTTCTTCATGCAAAGTTTGAAGTAGAAACTGGAAAGTCAATTTTTCAAGTTATCTGACGAAAACGGTAACTCTTTATTGAAAAACTTCAGTAAAATTTCGATAATCTCCAGAAAGAAGATTTGGAGAAACCAAACCATTCTCAACTTTTCTATTACTCACTAGCACTAATCAAATGAATATCATCTCGGTTGAAAAGCGACTTGGCATCTGAAGAAGTTTCCTCGTAAATATTGATTTCTATCATGGCATTTTGTAGTGCTAGATATTGCAGAATATTATGTGCGGAATGCAACTCAATGCTGTCATAGCAGCTTCAAGTATCCTTTTTTGCTGAGCATGTTTTCACGAAATAACTTATTAATTATCCGATGAATATCTTATTTTAAAATACATAAATTTCCAATTGTTTCTATAATATATTGATATAGTTTATGTTTTCGGATATGATACTTAAAACACTTTTGTGTGATATCATAGGTAGCGTAGGGTCAGTTTTTTTAGATGAAGCAATAAAGTTTTAAATGGGTTCATTTTGTTCCTCTCCGCCTACAGTAGAGGGTATCAGTAAAGAGAAGAATATCTACATCCACAACCATCCTCAAGTATAATTATTTGTTAACTTGAGATAAACCCAGCACATGTTGAAAAAAAAAAGATATTCTGAACAGAATCAGAGTCAATAGCAATGTATCGAATTCGATTAAACTCCTATAATATAGGCAGGAATAGGACTTGAGAGCTAGAATTGAAAGTGAATTTCGTTAAATTTGATGTTGGAGATAAAGCAAAACTAAAGTGATATTTATTTGGAGTATTGAATTTCTGATTTGAACATAAAACTAGAATAGATATCCTAAAACTGAAAAACAGTATAAAATACATCTACTATATAATTATTTTGCTTGCAGAACAGATGAATTGATAAAGTACAACGAAAAATACAACAGATGAAAAGGAATAAGCAATACTATCTATCTTAACATTATTTTGATGAATGTGTAATAATAAAAAGTACGATTTTACCTTTCCAAAGAATTTAATAAAGAATCAGAATAGACGAATTTTGACTATATTGTTTATTGTTACAGCAATCATTCAGATTGCATGCTCCGAAATCTTAAAAATGAAAAGATGTCGACAAGATAAATCTCTATTTTGATCATATGTTACACGAATTGCAGTTGATTATTTATTTCAAAAACCATGTGTGATGTTATAAACTGAGGTGCGATATTTTTTTGTTCGCACCCTCGGAAAACATTGTCTTACGACAAGTGATGCTCAAAAAAATTAGACATCGACGTGTACATTATTTCTTGATGTTGACTGAAAACCCTCATAATGTCTTGATCTATTTTGATGTATTGGTGTGAGGCATTTCTTTTGGTGTCACTATAAGATCTTAGTTATTTCTAGATGGCCTCTTCCATTAGGAAAGAAGAATATTATTCATTCTGTATTTTTTCGTTGTTCTTTTCTTTGATTCTGCGGAGAGTGACAGAGCCAAGATTTTGAGCTAGGCAATTAGGCTCAGCCCATTCCTTCAGAAGATTTTTGAACGATGTATTTCTCTTTTTTTTCTGATACAATAATGAGTGTTCCTGACATGTTGCTTGTTTTGCACTATGAAAGAAATGCTGTTCTACTAGCTGAGACATAAAAAGGAAGAAAGAGAAGCTATTTGTCTTCTTTCTTTGAGTGATTTGATAGAGAATCACTTTTCCACAGTTGTTTTATTTACTATTGGAGTGAGATTTTCAAGAAAAGTTTTCTTAAATATAGTCTTCTTTTTTTTTTGAAAAACTTTCACTTTATTAACTAAGTTTCTAAATGACTTTTCAAGTTAACAAATAAATTCAATAAAATAGGTTTCGAAATCAAAATTATGGAGTCATTTGGATTTTTCTTCTCTTTATCTGTATTTTGATAAAGATTTATGATTTTATTGTTTAAAATGGCATTTAGCAAAAGATGAAATCGTATTTCTTTTTAGTTCAGCCAAACAAGATCACAAAAAATAAGAGAGTAGATACTTTCGATTGTTGAGTATAAAATAAAGAATGATATTCTTGCGATTGTTACTGTGAAAAGCAACATCTAATTTTTATTTATATTGCAATATGGAATTTCTGTGGGAAAATTTTTAAAACTCTGCTCTAAATAATTACCGTCTTTTTACGGAATAGTACTGTTTTGCAGGTGTTGAAACATTTTTCTTCGTGCTGCAATCTTTAAAATAAATTGTAGTGCTGAGAAAGAGCATGAAAAAGTGTTGTTACATCTTTGAATGAAAATTATTTTCACTTTTCATTTATTTTAGAGATCAAGCATGCTATCTTCTAACAATTTTATCGTCTTTTGAGCAACGTATTAGCTTCAAAAAACTGTCTTCATCCACATTCGCAGTAGTCTCTTGATAGAGTATACAAGTTGGCAATCATATGCAATGGACATTAGATAAGGAAGACATCCTCCGTCACACCCTTAACTCTGTCTTCACCCACACACTTTTTGAATTCATCTGTGGATATTAAGTTTTTCGGCCAACCCATTCACGGCACAGAAAAAAAAACTATACAAACAAATTTTACCGTTGATCGATCTCGAGCCCTCAATCAACTACTTAGTATCTAAGAAATCGAAATTTGTTGCAGAAGTGGATTTCATCGACAGACATAATAACAACAAATGTACTATTGTGCGAATCCAACGTCTTTGTTGTTGACTTAGTCGATAATATGACAAGAATTAATTTCGTTTGATGATTGTTTGGTTTTATTGTTTTGTTTTTCTTTCATTCTTTGTTTAAACAATGGTATCCACATCTTTTTCTCTTTTTTTGTCTTATGTCTAACAAAAAAGAATTAATTCAGGTATCAATGTTTGAATACAGAAAAGTAATACACACGAAAGAAACAAACTTGAGTCTAAAAACATTCATGCTACCATACTTGTTATTCTACTACTGCAGCTACGCTGAAACAAAAACACGAATCGGATTACAAGTGAATGTAATTGACGGAGAGCTATGTCACGATTCCAAAAGAAAGTAGTACTATTCTTAGATGAGCGAAACAAAGAAGTTGTCATCGAAAAAGGCCAGATCATAAGATTATTTTGGCAGAACAAATAAAAAAAACGTTTTTCATCGAACCTGTTCCTAGAGGAAGAAGCATCGTTTTTGTTCCGTACGAAGATAGTGAACTTTTTCCGAGTTCATACGAAAACACTGCATGTTTCTTAAGTTTCACTATTTCGTACTGAACCAAAAGAGTTCTTTCTCTGGATAGAGGTTCGTTGAAAAACTTGTTTTGTTTTTTAGTGTTTAGTTTTAAATATAAATGTCTCATATATAAGCATTATGATGACACTTGAAAAGTAGATAGTCAATATATTCCAGCAATATTTTTCGACTAAAACCAAGAGGCCTAAAGAACGAACATGAAATATTCGTATTAGTATTGGTGAGATTTTTGAATGTTGTATCATTTTCCTCTTTAAAAAACAGTAGGTCTAGTTGTATGAAAGTTGTACGCAATGACTCGTTTGTCATGATGTTTGTTCTTCTGTACATATCATTTTTTTTTTGATAAAAAAAAGAAATCGTCGAACTGAAATAAATTCTAACTCTCTGATCAGTTTAAGATGCATGATGTAAATGTATTCTTGGGACAAAGCTTGTGTTTGTCCTTTAAGGTTTTTTTTTGTGCAGCGTTGAAGTAGTTGATATTGTTTCTTTGTAGAGATTCCGATCGTCTGATGACAGAACATACTTGAAGTCATGAATGTTATTATAAGATGTAATTATTTCTTCTTTTCATTTCGATTTCTCGCTGTTTAGATCATCAGAGAAAACGATAAACAAAAAACTCGTAGCTTCATTATTTCTGGCTGAATTATGTGTAACATTGCATTTCCAATTTCATTATATGCTTTCTCGTTGTAGAAAACAGAAGAATCGTTCTCTTCGTCATTCAAAATTTTAACGTATTATAGAGTCAAATTTGAAATATCAATCGATGACTTCTGCTGTTCATTTTAATGTTATCAAGTTAGCTCCGAATCAGGAACTACTAGAATTAAGTAATTGGGATACGAATCCAATTTTATCGTCGACCACAAGTACAAGTAAAATAGGAGAAGGGTATAGTAATTGGGATACAAATCGAATGACGTCGGCGACCGTAACACATACAAATAAACACCCTGATCAGTATAGCAATTGGGATACTAATCGAGTGACATCGGCGCCCGTAACATATACAAATAAACACCCTGATCAGTATAGCAATTGGAGTACTAATCGAGTGACATCGGCGATCGTAACATATACAAATAAACACCCTGATCAGTATAGCAATTGGGATACTAATCGAGTGACATCGGCGCCTGTAACATATACAAATAAACACCCTGATCAGTATAGCAATTGGGCTATTAATCGAGTCTCGTCGGCGATAGTGACTAGAGAAAAATGTGAAACCATCAATCAGGGAAAAGGAATACTCAACAAGTAATTCTCTCTTCGTTTTATGTTATGCGTTATTATATATATAATCTATTTCTTTTTTGATTGACTTCAGGATAAAATTTGGATCTCATGCCTACAAGGTACTATTTGTGAGCTTTCTTTGTGGTATTCTGGTTGCTGGTATTCCATTTTCGATAATGCTCACTTTTTACATCCAAGATCAAGTGAAAACAAGTATTTATAAATGATTTAATTGATGTTTTCCTTTATATGTAGGATCTTGACGAGTTTGACTAGCTGTAGTGTATTTTAATCACTTGTATATTAAAATGTACTCAATTGTTTAGTTTCTTTTTTCAGCATTTCTAAAGATAAGTAACGTAATAATACAACTTAATTACTTATCTTCAAGTTTTATATCCTTATTCATCGATTCAGATACAGTGGTGGAATAAATTATTCGTAGCATAATGTCTTAATCATTATTCAGCAACCTATGAATATTTTGATAAATGAAAAATGCTAACAGAACATCTGAGTTTTAGTATCTACACTGTAAATATCAATTCAGACAGTCAATAGATATTATGACTATTACCATACTACTAAAAGCAAATAGTGCTTTATCCATAAAAAGGATGCATACGACTAAAATTCATGCTTAATATTTGTTGTCACGCCTAACCAGCTTGATCATAATGCTTATCAAGATAGGAAAGTATCAGTAAGTTTTCTATGACAAAGTCATATGGTTTTAAAGAGAAGTTTCAAGGAATAGAGTGTGGATGGGTACTTTTTTGTAACCTCATCTATGTATTATCGATACTTATTCAGAATAATTTAAGACCAATATGTCGAGCGATCAATTGTCTTGCAACAAATTGCTCATGTGACGAAAAATCTCAGTGCGTTCTTGTCGCTGATTAATTGTAAATGATTGATATATAGAACTATTGTAAAAAAAAGGGGTCCAGCTTGTAAAACTCTGGTATTTGCATCTACTAATAGACCATGCACATATCTTCTATGTATTTGACCATAAATTGTCATATTGATCAAACTTATAGAATAGGATATCACAAGTTGTGCATAAAAAATAAGCTTTTTTTCTGGACTTGATCATAACAAGAGAGTTTCTGCAGTTTTAATAAGAAGCATCTCATGTATGCTCTTGCAATAGGACTTCCAAAATAACTTTAGACTAGAAACAAATGAATATTCGATCGAAGTAAAGCTTGTATACTATATATAGTGAACATATTCTTTAAAATCAGACAAGATGTCTGTAAACTTCAACTTTCAAATTTCAGAAGCCTTTACACAATCTATTATGATCGCCCGTGAAAACATGTTCAATTTAAGCATATTCTTATGTCTCATTTCTAAAATTATTACTCTAGGAATAACGACAACTACATCAACAACAGCAACCACTACTACTGCTACAACAACAACAACAACTACAACTACTACAACAACAACAACAACAACTACAACAACAATAACTACCACAACAACAACAACTACAATTACAACGACAACAACAACAACAACTACCACAACAATAACTACCACAACAACAACAACTACCACAACAATAACTACCACAACAACAACAACAACAACAACAACAACTACAACATCCACAAGTATACAATATTCTTTTCGTTTAATATTAATTCATTTTAAAAAAAATTTTATTTTAGCATCGGTAACGACTACAACATCGACAAGTATACAGTTTCATTGTTTTTAGTTTAGTATGAGCTAATTGATATGCTTATAAAATTTTAGCATCTACTACAACAACACAAGGAATTACACAATGGAGTGCATTTTGGAACTTTGATAATAATGTTCTGGAATTGTTCAACAGCTACGATGGTGTTACATCGGGAAGTCCATCATACACAACTAGCTTGTTAGGACATGGTGCTGCAGTTAGTCTAACATCATCTTCAGCACAGTATGTGTCTGTTTCATCAAAACAAATACTATTCAATACTACTAGTTTTACAATTGAAGCATGGATTTACCCAATTAGTTTAACAACATCTGATCATGGAATATTCGGTCAGTGTCAATCCGTAACAACCAATATGTGTCTTCATTTTGTTTCTCGAAACTTACTATTATATTGTGGTTTCTATGCTAATGATGTATCAGGAGTGACTACATTAACAATGAATCAATGGAGTCACGTTGCATGCGTTTATGATATAACCACACAAACACAACAAGTTTGGCTTAATGGTGTACTCGATGGAACACGTACAGCATCTCCCTATCAAGGTTCATCAGGAATGTTAACAATTGGAATGACGTACGTTCCATTTCCTAATAATTACTATTTTAATGGCTATTTGGATCAAGCACGATACGAACCAAGAGCAAAAAGTGCCACAGAACTATTATATGTCGCCACGCTATTTGTTCATTATTCATTCGATGGCGGTTCTCTTCTTGATCAAGGACCGAATGGAATTAATGCAACTTCGTCAGGGTCCCCAATAACTGTCATTGGACGACTCAATGAAGCGCTTCAATTTAGTTCAGGAGCTTATGCTTATGTAAATTACCCATCTTTCTACTTTTTAGGCGTTACAAATTACCCGTTCACAATAGCACTATGGGTTGCACCGACAGGAAGTTATTCAGATTCAACAATTTTCTTTGTTGTTGCAACAACAGGATGGTGTGTTAATTTTTTGACTATGACTTCAAGTGGTAATATAATTGCTAACTTATGGGATGGAGGTCCGGTTGCAACAGGAGGTCCTATTCTTCCCTTGAACACATGGAATCATATTGGATTTACATACAGCTCAACGAATGGTGTTCGTTTGTACATTAATGGTACTTTATATTCAACATCAGGGCCTTTTTCTTATTCAGCCTCTGGTGCTCTTGTCACTATTTGCCTAGCTGGAAATTTTGGCAAGTCATGTTCACCAAACTACGGTGGGCCGTTTACGGGCGCATTGGATGAATTTTTTGCATATTCACGTGAATTGAGTTCGTCCGAAATTTTAACATTAGCCAATCTTTACTAATATTGTGCGAAATACATTTAAAAAAAAACAATCCTTATTTATTAGAAACCCAGTTCGATTTGATTTAATCTTGAACTGAATTATGAACTATTCGGATTTTTGCATTACTCAAAGTGTGACTTCTTATTGGACTTTTTTTCCTCTGTTCTGAATTCTTTTCTTTTTTTTTCTAAAATAGAAAACATTTCATAAAAATCTATAGAATGCATTTGATTCAATTTTCTATTTCATAATAGTAACGAAATCAATTCGATCAGCAGTATTAATGAAAAAAATCAGTTTCAACGCCGAATACTTCACTACAAAGAAAAGCAGCCAAATGAGACAAATCTGGATCGAGGGCTTCCAAGGTAGCTAACAAATCTTGGAACGGATGATTGTAGCCATTATCGATGTCAATTTAGATACTATCCCAGTTATACAGTAATGTCTAGAGAAACGAGTCGACACCGTGCATGCTGCATCGATAGGTTATATATGTTTTCCTATAGAACTCGGGCTCATATTCTTGGAGTCATACATGCATCATATCGTCTGTCCACAAACGGTACACTGAAAAAAAATAAGCATATTACGAAACCCTTTTGAATTTCGTAAGGATATAGTTCCGTGAAAGACAACATTGTTATCCAAGATAAAAAGGCTTCCATAGTGAAAGTTCTAATAAATACGTTTACGGCCATTCGAGAAAGGTTTTTCTCGATGCTATACGCCACTAAGCAACTAGTTTTACGAGGCTATCGAATACAGAACCATTGTATACCTATCTATAAACGCACCTTTCCCAACACAATTATCACCTACGTTCTTCGTGTATGCATTATACATTCTAAAAGACTTACCACAAAAACTTCGATTGTCGCCAACCAAGGCGGACACAGTCGACAATTCTTGTACTCATATACTTCCCACTTAGCCCACAACACAAAAGCTTTTCCTTTCTATCTCATGTGCAGCGATATTCTATACTTCCTACCAATTCAAACAAAAAACAATACCAATCATTCACTTAGCAACAATACATATAAAGGAACAGTAATCATACTTTCCTAGTTCGTTTTAACAAACGAATTATTGTCTTCCGATTGTGTCTCACAAATAAAATCAATCTTTGACGAACCTAAGTAGAGAACAAACAAATTATTCAATGGTATTTCTAACTTACAAATAAGAAAATTCGTTGAAAAATCTAAATTGAACAAAAGAATATCACCATGACATGAAAGGTACCAGTCTTGTACATTAAAATAATTATTCTCATGAATTCAGAAATGAAATTTGTTCTATTATTGAAAGTATAGCAACAAGAAGATCGATGATCATATTTTACAGAATCGTTTAAAAGTTAAATGGCATAGTAATTCTAACAGAAAACATAACTTTCTGACTAGACAGTTTTCAATAAGAAACAGCCTTCTTGAAACGAGAACAATACACTGTTTGAGGTTTAAGTAACTTTGCAAGTTCGTTCTGAGAATCACAGAAATCTAGTTGAAGAAGATAATGAACGGTGAATATAATAAAAAGTTTATAAGAATCAGTTGAGGCAGTTATCCATGAGATATGGTACAGAATGAATGAAAAGGTACAAGCATCAGTAAAGGATGTTGATGACCGTCTTGCGATTGTGTGATATGCGATGCTCAGAGAGGTTTATTTTGCAAAGTATGCCATGAGTGCGTTAGGTTCATGAGGTATTCAAACCAACCTTTTTGAATTAGATACTCTAAAGAATTTTTCACGAAATCTCGAAGGTTTCGTGTGGCACCTTTTTTTCAGTGCAGAGTTCAACATTCGTCTGGTAACAATTTAGATTCTTCGTTAAAAATAGTGAACAACGGTCAAAAATCTTGATCATGTTGTATAGTAATCATGATCCTTAGTAATGTCTGGATGTATCACGTTGAAACATCGGTCATAGTCTATGGCAAGGATCCTTATACCGAATTTGAGAGAAGAGAAACAAAATTTTTAGTGTCCTGACTTTAGCCTAGACTGAGTCTATCTTCTAGATAATGTTTTTTTCTACGAGTACATAGTTTCTTAGAACGATGCTAGGCAAAAATTGTGAAATATATTTTCTGTTCATTTGTAGTTTGATTTTATTCCAAATAATAGAATCTATTCTTAGATATCAAAACTTTGATGTGAGTATCAATTTATGTTGTCATTGCACGAGTACTAAGGAAAGAGTCATGCACATAAGGCATACCAAAAGTAGTGTCGTCATTTTCTTTTTTTCATACAAAAAGCTTGCAGAAATTTTCTTATTTTATATAGTGATAGAAAAAAACGGCATCCTATTTTTTCTATGCTATTTGATCCCTATTAAACTAATATCGTAATAATAAAATTACAATAAGAACTGTTTTTTCTGTAAAATGTAACGGTTGTATCAATACTATTAAAAAAAATGCAGATTGAAAGTTTTTTCAATAACTTTTCATAGGAACAAGATAGAGAGCTGCGGTTTTTACCGTTTGAAAAAGAGATGAAGATGCTTCGACTCGTATGCTTAAGATTTTTTGGTCCAATTTTTTTAAGGTTTTCAAACGACTTCTTTGAAAATCAATCTATTTTGCTAGGTACGCACAGGAATTTTTAATTGTCAGATGTGCATTCAAACCATCAATTGAAGATCTACAAAACTGTATTTAATTTGACATGTTTGAAATTAATTTATCAGGATTCATAGGTATCCTAGTTGAAGCTGTAAGTAGTTTTTCTAGCAACTTCTGTGAAAAAAATATGCTTTCGTTATTTGTTTTTTTTTAATAAAAAAACAATTTTTTTGACATTTAGAAAATTGATTAAACAGACTTCAGACAACAAATTTGGAGAACCCCATAAGATACTGTTCGATGCATCTTCATCTTCTCTTTCGAATGGTAAAAATCGCAACGCTCTAACTTGTTCCTATGAAAAGATATTCTAACACTACTTAGCTTTTTTTCTGAAACAGAATTAATACAACAGTTACATTTTACAGAAAAACGATTCTTATGGGAATTTTGTTAATACGATGTTAGTTCAATAAAGATCGAAAAGCACAAAAAAATAGGATGTCGTTTTCTCTATTACTACGTAAAAGAAAATCTCATTAAGTTTTATATATGAAAATAAGACAATGATGACGCTACTCTTGGTATGTTATAGATATATTTAGAGTGTAAGAAGTTGATTTATTATAGTGATCGATGATGAAATGAAATGGACATATCAATGTCGATATGTTATAGTCGAAAGACAAGTTTATTTTGTTTTTCGCTAGAAAAAGAAGGGGCTTGAATTTTCACTTAGACTAAGACATCGTTCACCAGCTTGGCAGCCTTTATTTATTTTTAAATAAACGTGAAGGGGACCGGCATATAATTCATTGCACTTCTTTTGCCATAATGATTCCACGTTTCTCCTACGGCACCACCAATAGGAGACCTTGAAATAATGGCAACATCGTTGAGTAATAACTTGTGTTCGCAAAAAAAAAAACATACATGCAACCATGCTCACTTTCTTCTCCTTGATGTAAACTAACACAATATTGTTCGTATGAATCTGAATGAAGTATCATAGTAGGTATACGATAGCTATTTACCATGGTGCGAGAAGCGATAGATTCGATATAAGACTGCAATACTGAAAACAGACATTGTGAGATCTACAGATATTTTTTTTACCGTTTCTTAATCAAGTATACCTACTTATTATCGAAAAAAGGCAATGCAATTAGTACTTAAAAATAGGGTTAAAACACCATTTTAACAAAATTTCTTTAAAGCGTTGAAGCACGTTGGTGATATCTGAACACATTAATACATGTCAAAATTTTCTAGACTTATGCGTTTTTGCCCATTTACACAGCGAATATTACGAGTTTTACCGAGTTCAACAATAGCAGTACTTATTCACGCTAAAAGATCAGTGAGGAAAATATACATTCGTGGACACTTTCTTAAACATGTTTGACTAAGTGCAACAATTACTCGTTATTTCCTGTTCTCTTTTAAAACAGTTCAAAGCGTACGTTTAAACGGAGTCGTCTGTTCAGATTTGTTAAAATGCAGAACCTTTTGTCTAAACACTCAACCTTATATGAATATATACTAAATGTGGAAATAATTATTTATAAAACGTTCTGATTTTTTTATTAGAATAATAAACAATTTTTTAACACTCGTAAAAAGGATAGGATATTCTCAAAGACATTCGACTACTTCTTGTCCTTTATGTGAGTAAGACTAAACTAGTGTATATTTTCTAAACTCGTGTATGCATTATTTTTTCCAAAGTTCAAATTTTATTCTGATGTACTTGTGATGTTACATAGTTATGGTTACACTTTTTCATTTCATATTTCTAATACTTGTGGAATCATAGAAATTTTAATCAATTTAATTTTCTTTTGTTTATGATTATTATTTCTATACTATAAAGAAAATTATTATCAGTTAAGTATGAAAAGATGTCTTTAAATTTATCTTGATGATGAAGAAATCTTTGTATTTCTCTTTACATCCACTTATTTTGTTCATATTAGAAGAATAAGTTAGTTATGTATCAAAGCTGAATACATTTCATTTTATTCTGTCTCCCCTTCGTTTGTGCAGCTAATTTCCCGCATTTTGCATAAGTCGATATTTTCAATCAATTATATGATTTGCTAACGTTTCTTTTTGCAATAAGTCGTAAGAGGATCTGATCATATATTTAAGATAATATTTCCTTAGCAGATAAGCGAAAGCAAATATAAATTTTATGATGGAGACACGGAAATACAAACATGTGGTTTTATGAGTTTTATTTTTCTGACATCAGCTCTGAATGTACTTTAAGATATTATGAGTCGTCATCTCTTTAAAAATAACTCAGTGTATCAAATGTCCTGTTTCTGAATAATTTTGATATTGTCACATCGTCATCATCAGAAGGTACTTCATATTTGTAAAAATTTATTTGCATAATCCAATCGCTTTTATACATGTTGAAATATTTATTTTTTCGTTTGGTTTTGTTTAGTTCTATTATGATCATCTTTGCATTATTTCTGTCAAATTTCTCATTCGTTCGAGTGGTCTGTCCTTTCAATCGTCTATTCTTTTTATGATAATACCATTTTTCTCTTTTACTTGTAATAATAACCGTTTTTCTTCCTCGTGCTCTTTTAATTCTATTCATGTATTATTTGGCATATTTTTTTTGGCAATCTACCGCATTCTTTTCGTATAGTCAGTTAAGAGTTAATATAGTCGACAGACCAGTAACTCAAACGAGTCGCTGAATAGGAGTGAGCCTTTAAATTTTTAGTGCTTTTATCCAAATCCTTTATTTAGATATTAGCAACACAGATGGATGTGAAGCGATCGAATGTTACCGATAATGTTAGTCTTTCACCTTTCTGAGTATCGCTTAGATTAAAATAGAATTGTCATGTTTTTTAGTTTTCCTGTTCATGTCGGTAGAGATGAGGAAGAAGCGAATAGCTATAGTTCGATACTATTGCTAAGTTTCATATTGTATTTCATAAGTCGGGGCCATTTTGAGTTTTATTTTTTTATTTTTCGTAGATAGAGAGTTGAACGGGCATAGAAGACATATATTCAAGAGCAGCATCTAATTTATCATCAAAATTAATTGTACTCAGCTGACATCCTACACGAACGTTTTAGAGAACTAGATAGAACCTTCACGGTATTCGAAAGCACCTATAGCATACTTCTATCCTCACTGTAATCATGTCACGGATCATTTAAAATCATTTTGTTTAAATATTTTACTGACCTCAGACGTTCAAAAAGGACTGTATACTCACTTCTGATCACTGAATGATGATAATTGATGGTCTTATGAAGCCAAAACGCTACGGTTTCTAGATAAATCGAGAATGGGAACTCAAAATTCGCGACTGAAATATATATCCAATCGTGTAGAGCGTTGCAAAAAAAACTTTGTTAGTAAGACTTTTACTTTATGAAAGTGTTTGTACTGCAAGTTAAGTTGGTTCCAAATATAAGTCTTATGGTTTCAGTGAACCGATATCCTTGAAAGCGTTGGAATTATCACCATTTTCTTTCACGAAATTCTTCTTGAATGAAAATTTGAGTAAGACGATTTTTCGGTATGGTTTGCACGATAGCTATGCGGAAGTCTCAGTTTCCAAAATTCTATTTATGGGTTTTCAACAAACCCGAGAATTTAGATCTCTTAATCCTATCAAGTAGTATCAATCAATGATCAGAAGCAAGTACACAGCTCTGTTCGAACATCTGAGATCAAAACAATTACATACACAAATGAATTCTAGTGATCTTTGGCAACAATACAGTGAGGATGTAAGTATTAACGTTTAGTTTTTAGGCCTTATTTAGAAAGGATAACATACTGTTTCATGAAAAATTTTATACTAATTTACAAAAGTTCGGAATTCACAAACTTTACATTTTAGTAGTAATGCTTTATAGAAGTCTTCTACTTTTGCCTAACATGTACTCATTTACTAAAATAGCTCCTAACGAAAAACTTAACTGTTCCTCAACTTTTCTCGGAGTTTGCGAAATTTCACTCTTCGCGAAGTAATTTATTTCTGTAGCTCTTTAACCCTTCACATCACAACTTAGCCAACAGTAGTGATGGTACATTAAAAGTATGAGAAAATTCTTTTGTATTGTGCGATTTTAACAACCAACAAGCCATGTTGTTCGATGCTTTGAATTACATTTCAAAACGATGTGTCCTCTGACTGGAAACGTTATGTTAGAAACGCGTTACCAGAGCTACCCCTAAAAAACACGACATCTATTGTAGTGAATCATTAATCTTTTATATATGGTTTTCTAAGACCTCATTCTCGAACCATTCATTTTGAAATCTTTTGAGTGTAAATATATTCAGCCGTCGTAACACTTCACCCTCACCGATACTGATTACTGATTTGAAGTGGATGTATATTCTTACTTTCCAGCGTCAAAAACTTTCTCCACAACATTTGTGACTCAACGAAATACTGCCAACAACAGTTTGTGGATAAAAAGTATTAATATCTTCGATTATGTTGAATATCTCAATAAGTTTTTCAACACTATGCTATTACGGTCCACTTATAGACTGATAAATAAAGCGAGTTGACTCTATCTTAGTTATAATGAATTTATCGCGTTTCATAGTTAAATCCCACAAGAATCATGTCGAAAGCTTTTCACATACTATCCATTCATTTGAAAGCGTTAACTCATTCTTGAGCAACTCTGAGTGACTTTTTGAAGTCTGCATTATTGCGCATGGCAATCTTTATTTGTTGCAAGCTCGTAGCTCACAATATCTTTCTTCTAGTGTTCGAGATATTTGTGGCTTTAGAGAGGATAAGGAGAATGTATGAAATATTTCATCCACTATACATCTTAATCTCATTATGAAATGAAACATCCATTAAATGTGTAGGATTCCTATTTGTAACTTATTTCGCGATACATCGATTGAAGGTTTCTTTCTTTCGATAAAGCCTAGTCTTCATGTGTTTATTCAACGCAAATAAGCATTCATGTTAGGAGGTTTGTTCATTCAAGGCTGGTCTGAATCCAATAAACCGAACTGATAGCTAAAAACAGTAGTATGCAACTGCAAAAATATTATGAAATATTTTTCATCTTTGAATTCTTCGTTTAACCCTTTCACTCCCAAATTGTTTTTTGCTAGATTGTAGGTTTTTAACCTTTCACGACGGACGTTTCATATATGAGGCGGTAACATTTTTCCTTTCATACAGGTGTCAAATAGTACTCGAAGTGAAATTTAATACAAGCACGCAATGAGTTCTGCCTATTATAAACGAGAGACAGGCTGGAGGTGATGAAAGTTTTGCATCAAAGACGCCGTTTGAATGCAAAACGTCCAACGCTCACCCAACGTGTGACTGAAAAAAACCTCGAAAGGAAGGAAGTTTGGTAATCCTTGTGGTGCTTATACTTATGCATTCTCTTTCCGTTCTTTTCTTTTGTCAGTGCCATAGTATGGTACTATCACACGTGAATATTCCATCCATGTTTTATTTCAGTCTGTTTACACACACGAAAACGTACATGTCATCGTATGCGCAGCACTCTGTTTTGACATCTATCATACACTGAACCACTTTCTATAAAAATGATATAACAAAAGGGCGGAGTCTATTGGATGTAAAGACTTTCAGCAATAGAATCTGCCACCTCGACTTTCAGGTGCGCAATCTTTTTACAGACTGTAATAAGGACTATTTTTTCATTGATTACGAAAAGTTTTTCAGTAAAAATAAGCTCACTGTAAAAGGTATAAGAAGTATTTGAGAACATTATAGAATTTCCTCAATGAATGACTATATATCGCCTTCAGAGATAGTTGGGGAGGATTCTAGAGCACTCTCTATTGCTTCATTCTAAGAGATTAAGTACCAATTTTTATCAATTATGTTGTGAAAAATAATTATAAAGCATGTGTAGCCTTTTTTTAATACTCTGAAACTGAAAGAGTTAAAAAATAGAGAATGAGAGCTGAAAGAAACATCAGTAGGTCTCTAAATGATTAAGAGTCATTCATGCCATTCTTTCTGTAACTAACTATTAATTTCAGTTGTGTAGTCAAATCATCATCTCTAGGAAAGTCGCCTAATATGAGCTTTCTTGAACATTGCAATGCACATGAACAATTAGAGACATCAATGAACTACTGAAAAAACGACAAAAATAACTCGTAGTGGCTCCTACTTCTTACATGCCTATTCATGTATATGAGACGTGGTAGACACTATTGTCGATTAAACTTGTTGGATATGAAATATTAGTAGAATGAATTGCGACCGGTTTGTTTTATTCTCTACTTCCCTATTCACTTGAATTGACCAATAGTGTCGTAGAAATGAAAATTTCCAGTAAGAAACATTTATCAACTAAAATAATTCACAATGCTTTAGTTTCTAAATTGATTGAATGTAAAATAATTTCAAAATCTGACTTACATAGCTCATTGATCAACAGCTTGACGTAACTCTTATTAACTTGAGATATTGTATTTAAAGTGATCAAATCGTCGAATCAACGGTGCTACCACTTACGAATTATTCTCATTTGTACTTGATCCATAGTGATGCCGGGCTCTGAGCAGGAAGCAGTGATTCAGAAACTCATTCACACACCGGAACAAACTCGAGAAGTATTATCGACGATTGACGTACACGAGCATCTTCCACAAGTGAAAGGAATTCGGGCGGGTGCTGTTGTTCGACCAGAACCTCTTTTTCATAGAAAAACACGACTTATCATAGATACACATTACGATACTGAACATAATATACTACGAAATGGGGTAGAAGAAACCGAATTTCAAAATATCAAGTTAATCTCGCTGGACAAATTGTTCAACAACAAACATGAAGTATTTCTTGGGTTCGGATTACCAAATGTTTATTTAACTATTCCCAATGAAAACAACGATGGATACGTCAAATTTGCTGCATTCATGATGTGGCGTCAACTTAGCGCAATAATCGATACAAAAAATCGTGTACAATCTGGCTTCCTCATTCGTTTTCGAGATCTACCGCAAAATGCGTTAGTAGCATTACGACAAGTCATGTTGCAACATTCAAACAAGCGACATGTGTCTTGTGCATATGCCAATGCTTGTGTACTCGACTCGGCCGGATTTACCAGCGATGGTACTGCTTTGAGTGTTCATTTCGGTGCTCGTGCTGTATTTCAGCAAATTTTTGAAAACGGGTTAGAATATAAAAATGAACCGGTAACGCTTGACTTCATACGAACAACTCGATTAACACTCGAAGAACATTTTAGTATAGTACGAAAGAAAGAATTCATGAGTTTGGGTCGTACTTACGCGAAAGTCATCGATGAATGTACAGATTCTAAGAGCCGCATTCGAGCACCCTTACTTGAAGCAACAGATGTTCCAATGAAGCCGACTGTTGTTGATCCTGGTAATTCATTAACACGTTTAGAAATTTCTCATCCCAACTTATTTGGAGCCACAATTCGAAAAATTATTGGATCACATACACTCATAAAAGTAATTCCAAATCGAAAACAAATCACCGTAGACAACTATCTGCCACAAACACTTCGGGCATTCACGATGAAAAATCCAAGTCTGTTAACTCGAATTAAGAAATATATAATTTTCTCTCAACCTGTTGTGACAATGATTCGAAAACACATGGCTTCATCATGGGACGATCATGGTTATTTTGCTCCTGGACCTTTGGCATCTATGATGAGTATTCATACTAAAACAAAACCTAATCTGTACAATATCATTATCATTGGTGACTATCTCATTGGCATGCATAATAGTCCAGGTTGGAAGATCGCAGACTGGATATTATCAAAACATGTTCTTATATCTAGTTATGATGATGACGTTCGTTTTGCTGGTGAAGTTTGGATGCAGCATGAAGAAAATGGTTTAGTTCTTCATTTATCGAACAATTCTGGTACTTACCAACCAACTAATGAACACCTTGTAGCTGCTGGACAATATGTTTCTGCTGCATTACCCGGTCTGAAAATAGAACTTCATCCAAAGACAGCTTTACCTTCATCAAATTCGAAGCAGATTCCTAAACAAGAAAGCTGGTTTACTGGTAAACACATGCTAGTACTCGTGATAGCATGTATGTTTGGTATATTTTTTGTTATGCTTAGTAAATCGAAATCTACTTCGTAGTGAACTTTGCTTTATCTGAACGAATTTCAAACGTAAAAATGACGAAACCAGCAATCATTAAATTTGTATTGTGACTAACTGATTTGTTACTACTAATTAATCTAAACTGTCCCTGAGGTATTTTTTGAGAACAGTGTTTATCAGAACATTGAATAAACGTAAAATATCATTGTGACAATCTGACTTCATCAATCACGTGAATCTCCAAAATGAAACTCTCAAGAAAAATAAGAATTCTTGAAATGTAAAATGTGTAAGTCTACAAAAAGAGCAATTCAATTCCGCCAAAAGTTTCACAGATAAAACAATAATTATTCGATGTAATCGTTGAGCTTTTGACTGAAAATATGACTTGGTAGATGGTTTTTCATCTTTTTTCTTGCTATGACAAGTCGATTTTTATTTTAGTAACGTGCATTCTGATGTACATCATCAATAAGTGTTTGACATGATAATTCAAGGTCTCGATCTAAAGTTATCGCTTAAATTCTCTTACCATAACTACACTCTTTAGCACATACATCAAAAATAAGTTATTATTATGTAAATGTACATTACTATTCTTGATTTACATGTTTTCGATGGTACACATCGGAGAATCAATTGCAGCTTTATAAACAGACACATTACTTTTAAATATGCTTGAATCAGTATTTTTTTGGTTCATACACAAATAACTTTATACATGGTACACATTGTACATAGTTAATAATTTTCTCATCAGTATCTCTAAGGCTACAGATTGTTTGCTAAATAAAACTATTAAAATGCTAAGTTGATCTTTGATAAATAAAATTTCTATCTGCTCAGTAAAAAAATTGAATGCTAAGTAAAAATATTGAACGCTCACTTAATTAAAAGTTTCTCAGTAAAAAAATATTTGCCAAGTTTGATAGATAAACGCTAAGTAAAAAGCATTCTTGTTAAGTTAATAAATAGAAATTATACTAAAAAAATAGAATCGCTAAGTAAAAATCATTATTACTGAGTAATTTCCAGTAAATGTAAAGTACGATTATCGGAGATAAAAAAAAATTTTTTTATAGTACTATAATGTATATATTGTTTTCTCTTGCTTTCCTTCTATCATCGTTCGACTGGTATCGTGATATATATGTCAACATTCAATTTCGAATTCACTCTAATCTCGGATGCTCACATTGAATTAGTCCATTGTTGGATTAAGAAAATTTTTTCATTAAAACCTCCGTTACTCTCACGATATATATTGGATTGAAATTCTCGTTGATGAACTGTGATGAGGCAATGGTATTTCATATATTAAAATCATCAATGCAGAACCTACTTTGGAATTTGAACTCTAATGGATAGTTTTCCTAAAAAACTGTTCTTCTGTAGAGATTTACGTAGAGGTTCACAAATGTTACTTAAATTTGTAAATCGACTATTGTATTTTCTAGAGTATCATTGCTGCAAGGCCATTTATCAACAAGAATCTCGATCTAATATCTCTCTTGAGAGTAGTCGAGGTTTTAATTAAAACAAATTCCTCAATCCGACGTTGAATTAGCCCAAAGTGAGCACCCGAGATTGACCTAGGCGGATCTAATATTGAAATGAATCCAACATTGGATGCTGACACATATATATATATATATATATCACTTATAGATTTTTTTCGTTATGATGTAGGTGCCTGTTTTCTTAGAAAATGCTCTAGTACAATCCTATTTGTTTTTCTCTTGCTATTTCTTTTACATAAAATTTGTATTGCCTCCTCAAGACTTCTCTTCTGTGTGGCACTGTTTGGTATGCTCTTCTCCTCGTTTTCTTATATACTTCTGCTGATTTGTCATTGAAAGTTTACATTGAATTACAAAACTAAACTAGAGCAACGCGTTGGAATAAAAAAAACCGACTTTGCGATTGTCCGAGCTTCTTGAAAGAATATATTTGTAAAAATATTTTAGACATAGCTATTAGGTTGAAGTTTTGTAAAACATCTCTATCAGCAAAGGATATATCTTTCGATAAAAAAAGAAAACAAGAACGACCACGAAAAACAACAAAAGTTCTATTGGTACAATAACTGTACAATTAACTTTCTTTACTTAGATATTCATGTCATTTTACTTAACAAAAATTATATATTTACTTAGCGATTTACAATATTTTACTAAGAAAATCAAACTGTTTTACTTAGAGTTTAAATAAAAAACTTAACAAAAATACTTTTTTTTACTTAGAATTTTTTTCAATAAATTACCTAGCAAAAATTTAATTTTTTACTTAGCTTTTATTTAAAATTACTTAGCACTGAAATAGTAGTCTTTTGTATTTATCAATAGTCATTATTATAGCTCAAGTGAAAAGCAAAGTAGATGCCGAATAGCAAAACAATTTCAAAAACTGCATCGAGTTACAGATAATTTCAGATGTAATTGGTCATTGATTCTATCATGCTAATTTTTTTTTCTTTTGCATCACTTACCTTTTTCATATGGCGTCTCCGTATATATGTTAGAATTTCATCAAATGACATTCGCATTTTGTACGAACTCAAATCCAACGAATTTTCGAGCTGTTTGCTCACACCATCTATCCGAATAAATATTAATGGTGTTTCGAAATACTTAAAAACTCCAACTGTTTTTTATTCAGATTAAAAAAATACCTCATTTTTTCCTATTTTTTAAGACATCTTACAGATCTATTAAAGTAGTACTAAAACGAGCCGACACACTGCAAAAACTACTTCAATGATTACTTATACTATTAATTTGCATGGTGATGATAATGATAGTAATTTGTAACGAAAGATTTATCTATTTATTTAATATGTTTTTCACTTCGTATTATGAGTATACAAATTAAAATGTTTTACAGCCAGCAATCATTTATAATTAAAAATATTGTTGTAAACAATAAAACTTGTTTTTATGCTCAACATAATTAAATAGTTTTCTAATAGTCTTCATGTATTAATATAAAAAATTAATCGATATCGTATAAAAAAAAAATGATACAAACAGATAACTCTGATCTATTCATTAATAATGGATTTATATAATTGTGCAAAATGTTTTTTGTATTTGTTCTAGATGACAGAAAATATATTTGATGACATTAAAATTCAATTTGAACAGGCACGTTTGTTTATGATTTAGAAAAAAGAACAATTAGTTTATACATTACTACTCCTTTGTGTTTAGTTTCTATCATTAGTTGGTAATGTTCTTGCACATGAAAAAGAAATTTGTATAATACAAAATAAACTACGTCGTCATTTTAATACAACATCATCATATTATTTATGTTCAACAGATTTTAAGTCATTGCTCAAGAATATTCATAGTGTATTTACCAAAAATGATAGATCAACAAAATATTTCACACTATTAGCTTCATTTGATGAACAACTGAAAAGTCATAATGTCAAATTATTGAGGTGAATAAGAATGAGTTTCAATTTTTAATTATTTTCATTGGTATTCGAAAAAATTTCTTGTAAAAAGATTAAGATAAATATTAATCAAACTACAATCATTCATACAATGGCAAATGTCTATTGAACACGTAGGCACGAACTATTTTCTGTCCAAAACGTACTTTTTTTCATAGAAATATTGGCTTGTTGTACTCTAAAATAAGACTGATGAAAAAAAAAGAGCATTTATGATGGAAAATTTCTAGGAGAGATCTTTAACCTTAATTCCAGTAGAAAAACTTTATTTTTAAAAATGAATAAATAAAATATCAATCGATACAGAGTTTCACGCTCATTCCAAATATATATTTATTGATCTCTCTCAGTGCTTCTGTGATAAAGAAACTGCGAAAAACTTTAAAAAACAAAATTGTTAGAAAACCTGTATCTCCGTTTAGAAGTATTTGCACTAACTAAATGTCTGTTCCAAATATAGAAGAATATTTTCTGAAAGTTTTGTCGATATTAGATTACTGAACAAAAGTTGCGATCAACTTTACTGAAAAGATCTTTTTGGACAATGCTTAACTTGCAAAAGAATAATTATTTTTTTCAAAACGAAAATTTGTCTTACAAATTGATAGAGCAGAAGTTCTTGTTTTAGACTATATATAGTTTGATATCCAACTCTTTTGAATTTTCACAAGAAAATAATGTTTTTCTCTGCAGATGCTCTATTGTTACTTTTTTGAGACTAAGTTTTTCCAATGGATTTAGCAGCTAGAACAAAAGTCGTTTTTATCAAAAACTAGATCTTAATCAAAATAAGTAACTATACAAACCTCGAAAAAGTTCACTTTGATTTTTTTCCTTTAATGTTCTCGTTGCTACTGACTCTAATTCACTCAATGACAAAAATAGAAAGCTCTTTTTCCTTGTGATTGTTAACAATATTAAAAAACTTCATGAAGAAATAAAATAATTTAAAAAATAAACGTTTCGTTGTTCAAATCATTTTTCTTTATACACTTATCAATAGCACTCAATCATAGTCAAGGGTGTAAATGTAGCATCTGAGCGCCTATTTCTACTACAAGATGCTGTGATATTCATACATCTTTGAAACTAAATTGGAGATTACGATGATACCATAGAGTGAAAGTCATAGTATTTTAATTCAATTTTTTCAATCAAGACGAGGTTATTTTTCAAAAACAACGATATTCTGTAAAAATTGACTAAAGGCTTCCAGAATTGAGGAATTCGAATCTCTAATAGATTTTTTCGACCATGAAAAGCCTATTTCAAAAAAATGGCCGAATATTATGAAATGTGTATAAATCAAAGGAAATAGACTTACATTGATTGAAAAAAATCGAACTCTAGAATTTCAAAAAAAACAATTAGAGATTGAGATTCCTCAATCCCGAGAACTTTCAGTAAAGTTTTATAGAAAATCATTATTGTCGAAGAATAGTCTTGCCTTGATCGAAAAAGTCGAATTAATATTATAAGACTCTCACTCATACCTATGAATTGAAGTTTCTCTGTGATTAAAGTGATATATTATCAAGCATTCGAAAAAACATTTTATTCTAGGCTTGTATTTTTTTTTTGCAAATGCTTACCAGTTGATAGAGTTGGAAATAATACATCTATTGAGTCAAAGTCTGTGCCATCATAGAATCAAGAACAGTAAAGTAAAATAAAATCACATTTTAGGAATAGACTATTGCCAAGCGAAAGTTTAGAAAACTAATCTTCGAAAAATAAAGATCTGGGATATATTGAACTGATCAGAACCAGTCAGCATTTGCTGAAGCTATATTTGATTTCATTTACCCCAAACTTCTTTGCTGAATTTATTGATTAACCCTTTTCGGTCTAAGGCTCCTTACGGAGAATTTTATAAAAACTTGGTTATCTTGAATTATGAGACCGTTAGAAATAGATTTTATATCAACTCAAAGCCTATCTATTGTGCACTTCCAATTAACAAGCTGAATCTAATTTTTATCATAAAAAGAAAATTTGGGATGTGGGCTAGATGCATTAGCGAACGGTATATTCAATCATACATACAGTGTACAAAATAGTTATGATACTCATACACATTCACATGAACTATAATATTGTGCCTGTTTTGCTGTAAATTTCAGAAAATATTTCACATAAAAAAGAATAAGGAATGCAGAACTTATTTAATATATTGGTGCTCAACCGGTTTGATTGATACTTTCCGTGTGTATATTCGGAACTATTAGATTGATTTTATTAAGAAAATTGTCTTTCTCAACCGCCAGCTTTAATCAAAGGCAAGAAAGGGTTAATCTGAGTAATTCAAGGAAGCTTCTAGTTTTATGATGAATTTTCTCGGCAAAGCATAGCCTATTTTCTTGATACCTTTTACAATAGTACTAGAATCTATCTTATCATTTCGTATTTTTGTTTTTTTAAACTAGATCACATCGAGTGTCAAGTGAGACTTCTAATGCTACTGATAATATAGAATCAGTAAAAGAAATTGCATCTACAAAAGAACAACCTGTCATTATATCATCTAAATCTTCCGCTACAACTTTTTTCAGATCATCGTTGGCTGCTAATAATGGAAGTAGCATATCAACATCACCAGAAGAACAAACAGTTGAACAACTTCTTGATTCATGTAATAATATTGCATCAGAATCGAATGAATACCTATTGCTAACAAGAGGCCAAAAGTTAAAAATAACAACAGATCTAATGACTACTTCGGAATGTAAAATCAATCAAGAGAAAAAAATTAATAAATTAGAACGACGATTACGTAGTTTATCTAAGACAATACGTGAATTAGAAGAAAAAGATATGTCATTAGATGAAATGGAACATTGTGAGTTATACGTTATAGAATCAAATTTAAAAAAACGAGCATATGAAGTAACTTGAATCGATTTTTCAAAATAAAAAAGTTGTCGAATATTAATAAATAATTCAGGTTTATACTCAACTTGCTGAACTCAAGAGTCAATCATCGTCTATTGAACGTATTCTTGATCAACCGGTTACTCTAGCAGGTAACCTTGAATTTATATTTAGAATTGTTCTTTATTATGAGTTTTTTTTTTGAGAGTCTGAAATTGATCATCCGTTGATTAATAAGTCTCTCGAAGATATGGTTAATCGAACAAAATATTTACCGTCTTTTAATGATGTTCTCAATACAATAGAAAAAACAAATAAGAAATATGAACTTAATCTTAGGTACAATTGAATTCAATTTTTCTCTATTATTAACTTCAATTTCATTGTAGTATGGATGTTCGAAAAAATTTAGCTGAAAAATCATTTAAAATAATTGGTAAAAAAATAAAAAACCGACGCATGGCTGATTTTCATGATATCATGAATAGTCGTCTCCCAGAAGATTTCGAGTTAGATTTGTTTGAGATTTTAAAAAAATTTTATTAATTCTTTGTTATTTAGTATCGAACAAAATGATCCGGCATTGAACAATGTTGAAATTGAAAAAGCATTATCAGAAAACGAACATGAAGCTATTGTTAAAACAGAAAAAGTAAGTTGACTATTTCTTGTCACCTAAACAAATGAATTTATTTTTTATGTATAGATTTTAAATGAATTTTCTCAAATTGATCCAAGTCTTGCACCAGAAATTATTATTGAATCATCGGAAGAATCAAATATTGAAAGTGATGAAGAAGGAAAAATTGAGGAAGAAGAAGAAGGAGTTGAGCTGGAATCTGAAGTGAATGTTGGGCTATCTGACAATAAACCTGATGAAGCTCAATATGACATCGTTGATATTCTTCCACCTTTCTGTAAGTATTCCTTGATCGAATGAAAAAAAGCTAAATATGTCGATGTCCTTGAAGTCTGTTGTTGGAACAATATGTAAGTCTCTTTTAATCGTTGAAGCAATGTATATTAGACTTTCAATATCATGAAAGTTTGCTCTTGAAAGTTTCATTCTATAAGTTTTCTATGTCTACAGATATTACCATACAAATATTTTTTATTTATGGACAAAAGTGTGAGTCGTTGATTGCTATGAAAGTAAAAATATAAATTGAATCAGACATAAAAATGCCTAACGTAGAGTATAAGGAACATATTTTTCAGATCTTTTTTATAACTAGTACACAGTCGAAAATTGATAAAAATTCATTATATTTCTGTAAATGAGTCTTTTAATCAGACTATGTAATGGATAATTCATCCAATAAATTCACGAAGAAGAGTCATAATATTGAGTTGAAATTTATCAATATTAGAGAGTACTAATACAATTACGAGAATTCGATTTTTATCAAAAAGTTGCTTTTCATTCAAATGATTTATTGATAAATATAAAGTGAGATTGAATCGTCACTAGACATTTGTAAAGATCTCGCTGAATTCAAAATGAGAATCAATAAAAGAAATTAATTAATTCGAAGGTAAATTTTATGCAGTATTTTCTCAAACATTTCAAAATCGATGGGTTTGTCTATTTCAGATGAAAGTATTCATTTTGAATATTTGTTATAAATCAAATTACATGAAATAAAACTTTAAAAAAATACATTAAATATGGAATTAGTTCAGATTTTTCAATACTTAAACCGAACTGATCCTATTTCTGAAATATACTATGATATTCAAAAAATAAAAATTGCTCGAACTATGTAAGAAATATCTGTATAGATTTTTACTACGGACTTTTGAAACATCCTGTACTTCGGATATGAGAGATCTATTTTCAAGACTAAATTGTTTAAATAAGAGAATACATACGAAACACTTTCTACTTGATTTAAACTGTTTGTTTTTAAATTAATGAAATACATCACATGAACACATGTTCATATCAATGGTTTTTTTTTCTTAGTCTCAGTTCGTTGTTTAAATAATAAAGTCTATATATTAGTAATAATAAATATTTCATTCTTATAGTTAGAATCATATCGATCTCTCTAGTTACGTATCTTAACCAATCACTAAGAGATATGATACAGGATTTCACTGTTAATAGCAGTAGCATTGACTTTTTTTCGAAAAAAGTTTTGATACGCCGCTTTATTAGTATTAAAATAACTTCTAGAATATGGATATTGTGCCCATAAATAATATTTCCACCTTTCTGCGATGTGAGTGTGTATTTCGTCTTTGACGTCACAACCATATCTTCTCAAAAAGGTGAAGACATCATTCTATACCTCGAATAAGTTACTCTCATGCGTTTTATCTTTTTCTATGTGTTTTTGGTTACTATTAGTGTTCACTTTCTTCATCTTCTGGACTAGGATGGAAAAAGTATGATAGCAGACAAGATTGAACAATGTCCTTCTCTGAATCTATTGTTTGTATGGAGATAAATCTCTCTAATTATTCAAGATCAGCTTTAAAAAATGTCTGATCTTATCATGTTGATTTCTAAAATGTTCATTCACGAATTGAATAGTTTAAGTTTCAAATTTTCTCAAAAAAATATTTCAAGTATTTACTGGTCTATTTATAATCTATAAATAGTTTGATTTTTTTGTTTTTTTTAGCATCAGAATCCTCGTCTCCTGCACAACCAGTTGTAAGCGAAACCATAAATAACGAAGATCCTGTAGAAACTACAGTTGAAATTTCTGTTAATAATCATACATTAACAATTTTATCAACAGCTTCTATACCACTAAAAAGAACAGCACGTGATTCATTTGCTTCAATTATTCAAAGGACTGAACCAGAAGCTTATATTACTATCGATGAGAATAATGCTCAACAATCGCAATCTATTGCATTTATACAGGAACATAGTGTGCAGACAATCATACCTCGACGCAAACAACATATACCTGCTGACGAAACTGTATATAATTGTTATAAAACACAACTAACCAATAACGATTCATCGATTGCTCAAAAACGAACATTACCAAAAGAAGTTGAATCTTCCAAATCGAAAACTCCTAAAAATCATCCTGAGATTGTTATACTTGATTAAACATTGATGTTGTTTGTGACAATTATTTCTTCGTCCATTTGATTTTTTGTGTTTTAGGTTCCGAAATTGTTTTTTGTATATTGATCCTACAACAAAAATGGTACAATCAATGATCAGATTTTTTTTTCTTTTTTTCTCTGTTTCATTTTTGTTTTGTTTTTAATTTTTTCCTGTTACAATGTGTCTGTATAGGTATTATTTTATTGTAGAAAATCATTGTAAAAACAAAAAACAATGCAATATGATCTTGTTTTTCTGAATGGTCGTGTTATCGATCCCGAAACAAATTTCGATGCTATACGATCTATTGGTATAAGTGATGGATCAATTGTATCCATTAGTGAAAATATATTAAAAGGCAAAGTAGAATTAGATATTTCGAATTTAATTATTTGTCCAGGTTTTATTGATGTTCATTCACATGAACATACTGATGAATATTATGCATTAAAATGTCAAGATGGTGTTACGTCTGTATTTGAACTTGAAGTTGGAACAAATGATATTGATCAATGGTATACCGACAGAGAAAATAAAACTTTAATTAATTATGGAGTAGCTATTGGTCATATTCAAGTACGAATGAAAGTATTTAATCATCCATCTGGTTTTTTACCACAAAGTGATTCACCAGCAGCACTTCAAACAGATAAAATCGATCAGATAAAAGAAGAAATCGAATATGGTCTTCGACGAGGTGCTATGGCAATAGGTTTTGGAATTCATTATGTACCAGGAGCGACACGATGGGAAATCGTTGAATGTTTTCGTTTAGCAAAAAAATATAATGTTTGTTGTCATGTTCATATGCGTTATTTTGGTGCACAAGAAAAAAATGGTAGTTTAGCTGCTCTTCAAGAAGTACTCGCTTTAGGAGCATGTACAAAAGCTTCCATTAACGTTTGTCATTTACATAGTACTTGTTTGGCTGTAACTAATAAAGCACTTGAACTTTTACATGATTCCCATAAAAATGGAATGGATATAACAACAGAATTTTGTAAGTGATTTTCATATCTGTATAGGAATCGAAATAGAAAATATCTATTATAGATCCTTATTTGGCTGGTTGTAGTACTATTGATTCAGCTTTATTTAATGATGATTTATGGCAAGAACAATTGGGCATTAGTTATGATAGTTTGACATATGTTAGTACAGGACAACGATTAGATGCAAATAGTTTTGCTAAATATAGAAAAGAAGGTGGATTAATTCTTATTAATTCAATACCAGAACAAGCTGTTATTGATTGTCTTCAAAGTCCAATTACATTGATGGGCAGTGATGCACTTCGTGGTCATCCACGTGCAGCTGGTGCTTGTGCTCGTGTTCTTGGTCATTATGTTCGTGAACAAGGTATAATAACATTAATGGAAGCAATTCGAAAAATGTCTCTATTACCAGCACAAAGATTAGAAAGTGCTTCATCACAAATGAAAACTAGAGGTCGTATTTGTGAGGGTGCTACAGCAGATTTATGTATATTTGATCCGACGACAATAAAAGATTGTGCAACTTATGAGCAACCAAAACTTCCTTCACAGGGAATAGTACATGTACTGGTTAATGGCAGATTCGTTGTACGTGATGGAAAGTTAGTAACTATGGATAAAAATACAAAACCACCAGGTCAAGCCATTCGTGGTGTTATTCGTGATTAACTGTTATTTTTTATTTTTTTTATATGATTTGTTTTTTTTTGACAAAATGATATATTCATGTAATTAACATTGAACGCAGGACTATCAATATTGTGCTATTAATCGTAATTTAATTGCAATAATTTTTTTTGTCTTTCATATTTAAAAAATCATTTTTTTTTCTAAAAGATATCTGTTGAGTAATATGAAATCCGTAACAAATTGTTTATATTATTTTAGTTGTTGTATCTCGAATTTACAAAATAATAAAAGCGAAATTCTGTTTTTGAGATCATAATGTGAGAAGTATCAACAAAAAATTGAAATGCAGAATTAACTAAAGAAAACCATATATTGATATTGATCAAGTCGTTTATAGACAAAGTGTACGTTGTATAATATTTAGTTGGTTGAGATGATGTTGTTGTTTTTTCGATTGGTATTACATTTGACTGCACAATATTTCTTTTATTAAAATAACTTCTAATGAATGCAATCGATAAATTTTTGAAATGTTTACGAATGGTACTACAGATAATCAGAAAAACATTGAAGTATATTACATAGGTAACTGTTGACAACAGAACAAAAGTATCATTAAATGTATACAATGTATGACAATCATCACTGAGAATATTCAAAACGAAACCTATATAGACAAACGATACATGATCAAACTATTGAAACAATTGCAATCATTATTGATAATTTTCTTTCTTGCCATTTACTTTTAGTATTTGTTAAAATAATTCGAATACATATTGTTTGAATATATTATAAAATAAAAGTATCGCCTATACGTTAACATATGCAACGTACAATTGAATATACATATAAATCAATAATTGAATAAATATGATTAATGTGCAGATGAAGAGAAAATATTTTTCATTGCTTTTCGGTAATGATTCAAGTTGTGAACCGAATAATAGTGAATAAAGTTCAAGATTTTACAAAGAAAAAAATCTACATAAACAAGTATGTTGAAAACATCATCGATGTGTAAGAAGAAGAAAAAGATGAAAACAACCATGAGTCGTTTTACAACTTATTTATAGTCGATCGAACATAGCTAATAAAAACATACTAATTGATGTTTGTAATGAATTATAATAAATAATAACCAATAGTTAATAGAATATTATTACCTATTGAAGAGTTGAGAAATAAAACTAATGAAAACTATTTCTAATTTGTTCTTGCATTCATATTATCGTTATAAAATGATGATACAAATCAGAATACAATGAAATTTTTATGGATATCGATTTATTATCTGTATATATTGATATAAAATAAATTCTATTGAAGAGATTTATGATGGAATATAGTTGTTACTCGTTCAAATAAAAATAAGGTCTAGATTTGATTGATTTGTTTGTTAATGAACTTAAGCAACTAAATGAAAAATCAAATTTTCACGAATAAGACTTGAAAGAAATGCACAACTACAAGATCAAGCGCAGAAATCATCTTGGAACACAAGAATGGATTTATCTTGAAACTAAGAGAACACACTTGGAATGAATTGATTGTAAAGAAAGTAGAAATTGGTGAAATATATAAAACTGAATAGATTTCATTTCATTTTATCATTAAAAATTATTTTTCAGCTTGTATTTCATAATGATTACTAGCTGTGTGATATTAATTAATCAATGGTGTGTTACTAAATCACAATTCTATCGTGACATTACATTAACTTTACCTTTGATTTGAATGATACACAAAATAATTCGATAAACGATTTAGATATTCGTAATCCTGAATGCACTGAATAACTGCACAACTAGATGAGTCTTGTACGAGTTGTACTAGCGTCACTACTGATTGTTCTTTCGTAGAGACGAAACTTTTATGTGATATTTCGATTGAATTATATATTCAGCAAAGGTATTTTCACCTGCACCAAGTAAACAGTTTAAGTTGTTTTGATGCAAACGGAATGATATTTTAAGTCTAGGCTATATTTCTAAATTAAATTTTTATCATTGTTTTCGAGCATTTCTTCTTCGGAAATCGCTTCATCTTCCAGTGAAGATACCTTGTGTGTTCGCACATTGTTGTCCACAATTCCGACTTATTCTAAGAAAATCGCATGATTGTTGAGAAATGAGATTAACATGTATACAATAATCCATAATAAGGCGATGAATTTAAATGTTGTGTTTTGGAAAGCGTTTGGTTTTCTAGCACTAAAAAAAATGATAATCTTGAATAGAAACAAATTGAAAGCTAAATGTACACAATTGTTGCTCGTTATTGGAGCTTATTAAAGAAGACTTTATCTACTTTTGCAAATATCACAAGTCAACAGGAGTATTCGAAGGTCGCTAGAATTGAGGAAGGACGAGCGTGTTTTTTTTTCAGAATCGGTGAGCAAAACATCAACGAATCAAGCGCTGGAACTTTGCTGGAAAAAAACGATGCCCTTTATGACTCAACAAGTTCCAGTATTTACTTTTCTGCAATCTTTGACGATTTTTCTGTAAATTTCGTTCTACATTTTATTATCATGTATAGTTAAAAATGCAGTGTATGCTATTAATCCATAAATCCAGATAGTCCTTCACTCTATTCATCTTGCGACGACATCATCTGTCTATTTTCATTTCACCCTCTGTCACAGAAAATCAAATCATGTATCAAAACCCAGTTTCTATTCAAAGTTACCACGAAATTGTAAAAAATTGACAGAAAGTCGAATATTTGGAAGAAGAAATAGCAATAATAGAGCCACAGGGTTTAGTCTTCTCTCTCTCTAGTTTAGCAACCTAACTTTATTCCTAGAAGAAATCCTTCTTCCTTCCTTTTGAAGATAATTGCGAATCATTATCATTATGATATTTGTCTTACGAAACATAATAACTCATAAAAACACAAAATAAAAGAAACGTTGCTACAATAAAGCAGTTTCTTTACGTCAATCAAACACATTGTTGAAATGTACTATAAAAAATTTGACGAGAAACATCTACATTTCTTGAAAACGAGACAATCAAGATTTTGATTGGTTCATTCACATTGACCAATTAAATATTATTCTAAGACCTCTTTGTATATATGAATAAATGTCATACATATCGCTTTGATCATTTCGTTTATCTCTTTGTTAGTAATAAACATGGTTTTTTTCTTGAAATTTGATTATTTTCATTGAAATAAAAAAACTCGAGAAAAAAAAATATATTTATTTCCTATTTTCAGTAACAAATCTTATTAAACCAATAAATGAATTTAGATTTTTAAGAAACAAAAAATTTGATCAATTTTATATCATTCATTAACAAAAACAGAAAAAAACTTAATTTAAAATCGAAAAAAAATTTTTTCTATCATGCCTTTGGCTATTGATGT